TTCCCTCAAACTGTCTGTGTTTCCAGTATTTACTCCTAAAATGACCATCATTCTTTAACAGGCAGAATTTCTTTGTGTGCAACAGCAACAAGGAAAAGATCTCTAGTTGCTAAGGTCAATCTAACTGCTGTGGTGATAAAGGTGATAGGAAAAATAGCCATCAATTGTCTTTTATTCACATGCAGGCTCACAAGATGGTGTTTTGGTGGCGGTAGCTGCTGCTAATTCAAACCTTTCCAACACAAAAGGAGCTATTGGAAAAATCGTGCTTTTTAAACTCTAAGTTTGAAGGATGGATTTCTGTAGTAGGAGCCAGTTAGGAATACCTGACACCAAAAAGAGAGGGTCATTCACAGCACTAGCACAAAAGTACCTGAGCCATGGCCAGCAGATTTCCATGCAACGACTCTCTCTGCTGCTTCTGTCTTTTTTTCAGTCAGTAGTTGTTTCATTAGACAGTCAAGATGAGTTCCAACAGAAATAGAGGTTCATTAGATATGATTTAGAGGCTGATTCAAGTGACCAGTTCCAGAGCAATACAGTTTGTAGGGCAAAAATAAGAAGTCATTCTAGGAGTAGCCAAAAGTGACAGGATATTACAAAGAGCTTTAGCCAAGAGGTTCAGCTGCCATCTGTAACAAGGAAGAGACCTTTCCAACGTGTTTGGCCTCAGGGGTAAATGACATACCTGTTCTGCAGCCACTTGCATCTAAACAGCACCATACGTTGAGAAGCTCTATGACCCCAGTCACCTTTTGTCAAAAGACAAAGTTCTCTTTATTATTGAGCAGGTCATGCTATGAAGTGTTTGTTTTAAACATGACTTTTACCTGGGGTGGACTAAGAGCTCACAGAACACAACTCAACTCACTCTGATCACAGTGTGGCAGGCAACAGCTAGCCTTGAAGCAGCAAGTAGTCTTATTCCGATTGCCACGTGGTAGCCAAATGTCTCAATTCAGACTTAGGCTTGCTTTCTTTTACTTCCAGGTAACTACAGATACTCATGTGAGACCATGACATGGTGGGTAACATACACAGTTTCTGTAGTACCAGAAAAATACATTGAAATAAACCCAAAAGGCAATCTGTCAAACTTTCAGTACCATTTTAAAGCTGGCTTCTGATAATCAACAGCAAGAAAAATTAAGACTTGCATGAACACAGACAGAAAGTTATTAAGACTCATAATATAGAATCATAGAATGATTTAGGTTGGAAGGGACCTTAAAGCTTCTCCAGCTCCAACCCCTGCCACGGGCAGGGACACCTTCCACTAGAGCAGGTTGCTCCAAGCCCCTGTGTCCAACCTGGCCTTGAACACTGCCACGGATGGGGCAGCCACAGCTTCTCTGGGCACCCTGTGCCAGCGCCTCAGCACCCTCAAATGGTTTCACTTGTATTCTACTTGCAAAAAGCTAAAGACAGATGTTGAAATGTAATTAATTACGCAGCAGAGGCTGTAAAACATGAGTCAATACTTTTTGTGTGCATAAAGACATAAAATGTTTCACGTCTTTTTAATATACTTGTGTCACTGCCATGTTTCTTAAATAGAGTTCCAGTAGTTTAAATCAGGGTAAATCCCTGGAAATAAAGGCATTACCCCACTGTGAAACTACTGTAAGGGCAGGAAGATCAACCCCAGTCCATTAGATGCACTTCCCACTTATTTCATGCTGGAATTGCCTTTAAATCACTTTGTGCAGCTATCTTAGTTCTCCAGCTCTAAAATACGTTGGAGGCATTTTCATTTCATTTCTCTCTTCCACAGTCTTCAGATGATGACCATTTGTCACCCACTGGTCTAAAGCATGTGTTTTCATCACCTAAAAACTAAGCAGCATTTACTGTTATGCAAGCAAGTAGAAGAGAGCATGTCATCTAGACCTAAGGTAATAAACCCACATGCTTTGGAATCACTCCCACAAGCACTTAAGAGGGGAAATTAAAGTTTACTGCCCCAGTGTATTATTGTGGTGCCCAAGAGCACTACGAGAGTTTGGGATGAGGCTCAGAATTTCCATTAGAGACCCAATTTGCAGGAAGTTGAACTTGGCCAGGAACATTTGCTTCAGGCTAGAAGTTATTTTATAAGCTCTCCCTCCAAGTGCCAAGAATTTCAAAAGTTGGCTTGGATTTCAGTCAAAGAATAGCTATAAATTTGTCATCTCATGTAGAAGACACAATGATGTCAGTGGCCCATAGACTCTCAACAGAGACTCCTGCTAGACTTGGGATCCTGCCTGTTTCAGCCTAGCCTGAGCTGCTTCAGGTTAATTTACTGAAGTCTCACTCTTTAAACATTTAGCCATATGGTTCTATAGCCCCTCAAAGTGCCTCAGGTCAGGAAGAAGCAGCAGATGCAGACACAATGGTATCACAAGCAACAGCTACTGTTCAGAGGCAATCAGTGAGTTGCTCTTCTGCCCTACCATCATCCAGCTGCAAACCACACGCTCAGATGCAACATTGGACTCATTTGCTTTCCAAAAGAGTAATTTCTATTAAAAGTAATTTCTATTAAAGTTCAAAAAACCCCATCCCAATGTAACAGCTTTCCAGGAAAGAGTCAGTAGAATAAACAGAAAACATAGAACAAAGAAAGCACAAAAAAACCCAAATAAACAAGACAAACATCTATTTGAGAGGCCTAAAACTTCCCATTTACGTACCTTTCAACCCTACTTTCCTTTCAGGCAGAGTCCCAAACCATACTAAAATGCAACACTTAGAGTGTTCACCTTCCCAGATGTCCCACTCTACTAACCTCATGATCTGGCTGGCACTTGCTGTCTTTAGATGGCCTCCTTGGTTTTCTAAGTGTGGATTCCTCAGCATCTGCAGACTGAAAAGAAATTAACTGGTTTAGATTCAGCATGCTGAGGAGTGAGCTGCTTATCTGGATAAAGTGAAAGGGGAAATGAGCATAGAGTAGAACTGAGCACATTACAATGTGCATCCATGTACCTTATCCATCCACCTGCCCTCTTTACCTTGTTTCCCTGCACAGGAGACTAACTGAGCAAAATCACAGAATCCCAGCCTGGTTTGGGTTAAAGAGACCTCAAAGCTCCTCCAGCTCCAACCCCTGCCACAGGCAGGGACACCTTCCACTAGAGCAGGTTGCTCCAAGCCCCTGTGTCCAACCTGCCCTTGAACACTGCCAGGGATGGGGCAGCCACAGCTTCTCTGGGCACCCTGTGCCAGCGCCTCAGCACCCTCACAGGGAAGAGCTTCTGCCCAAGAGCTCATCTCAGTCTCCCCTGTGGTAGGTTCAAGCCATTCCCCTTGGCCTGTCCCTCCAGGCTCTTGTCCAAAGTCCCTCTCCAGGTTTCCTGGAACCCCTTTAGGCACTGTTGCTTTAAGGTCTCCCCTTTAAGAAGCCTTCTCTCCTCCAGGCTGAACAAGCCCAGCTCTCTCAGATAACACTGTTCTCTCTGAGTAACACCAGGAAGGCAATGACCCTTATGGCCAGCAGACAGGCACTGCCAAAAGTGCTTTCTCACATCGAACAAAATTAAGCTACTCCCTAACAGAAGCATCTTTGATGTCCATTAATCCTGAACTTCTACTATGAACCAGCACATAACAGACCAGAAAAGGAGAATCAGGAGTATTTAGAGGAGGAAGAGAGAAGGTTAAAAAAGAACAACAAAACAAAAGGCAATGAAGAGATGACTCTGGGCCATCTAGGACTTTACATCAAGAAGGCCTGAAGTATGGGGAAGTGGTGGATGTATCCCATTTCAAGGGTGTAGCAGAGTCCAGTGATATGCATGATATGATGATACACAGAGCCCACTGCAAACAGAGCACCCTTGCAAGAATCTAGATGGCTGGAAGCCAGCAGCTTGATTTAGAAAGCCAGAAAAACAATACAGATATGCAACTCCATCCTGTGTGTTCTGCTCCAGAGGAAGTAAGCTCAAGAGAGACTAGTCATGGCCCAAAGGAACTCTCTTCAGCCTCATCTTCCCTAAAAGCTGCAAGAGCAGCATGCATTAAAGGGAAGACAAGTGAGGATAGAAGTACATAGCAATAGTTGCTGCCACCACTCTCTGCCAAACATAGTCTAATGTGATCAGAAGAATTCAGACACGCAAAGTTCAGAACAGAAACTGCTTCTTACAGGTTCGAGAAGCACAGTCAGATGAGGCTGATGGCTCAGGTCAAGATGTATCATGAGAGATACATGAAGTTACACAGATGACCTCAGTCACACTCTTACCAGATCAAATCCACACAGAAACTTTCCCTTCATGACAGTAATTTCTATTCAATGAAGTACATGCCAGGTCAGTAGAACAAACATCCAGCCTCTATCACAGTGTGCAGAAAGTTACTCTCTGAAATCAGATTTCAATTACCTTTTTCTCTGCTTTATCATTTCCATGTTCTCTTAAGTGCTCCCCATCTTTTTCTCTGTCCCTTTTTCTATCCCTTTCCCGATCTTTTCCTCTCTCCCTGTCTTTCTCTCGTTCTCTGTCCCTAGCCTTATCTTTGTCTCTTCCTTTCAGTGTGTCCTTTTCTCTTGCTCCTTCATATTTTTTCTCTCTTTCTTGTCCTTTATCATGCCCGAGTTCATCTTCTTGTTCTATGTCCCCTTTGCTCTTGTTTTTTTCTGTTTCTCTTCCTTGCTTGGCTGTTCTGCTTCTGCTTCTTTCCCTTTCTTGTTTTTCTCCTTCCTTAAAGGTGTCTCTTTCAGGGTCTTTGTGCCTGTCTTCATTATCCTTATGTTTATCACTTTCATTTTCCCTTCCTTCACTCTCTTTCAAGTCTCCTTTGGCTCTTCTGCCTCCACTTGAGCTTCTGTCTTTAGTTTCAGCACCTCCTCTACCCTAAAAGAAAGGAAAACTAAGCATTAATTCACACATATGGCAACTCTATCACACAATTACTTTACACAGCCAAAACCACAAGCTAAAAACCCAACAAGCCATAACCAGTGGCAGCCCCTGTGTCCCCACAACACTTGCAAAGTCCTACCTCTTTATCTTTATGGCTTTTTCGTTCCTCTGTTTTGGATTCTCTGCTTTCTTTGTCTCGAGACCTAGAGGTGGGAGGTTTCCCTTTAGGATCAGCTCTTTCCCCAGCTAAGATCCTTTTAACAGCAGCATCACTGGACAGCTGCAAGGAATAAAGAAGCATCATTTAAACCAGAGAATCCCAGACTGGGTTGGGTTGGAAGGGACCTTAAGATCATCCAGTTCCAACCCCCTGTCATGGGCAGGGACGCCTCACAGCAGACCATGTCACACAAGGCTCTGTCCAACCTGGCCTTGAACGCTGCCAGGGATGGAGCATATATGTGTAAATGATTTCATTAAATATCTCCTGCCTCCCTAACTCTGTAACCAACATGACTTGTTGGTGGTTTGGGTGGTTTTTCCTCTGCTTTTTTGTTGGGTTTTTTTTATAAAGAAAGCTCATATTAGTCCTGTGAAAGAATGTTTCCAAAAGAGCAGAAATAATGCTCTTATGTCAAACACCTCTTTGTAATTCTTGTGATAATGGGATTATATAAACCAGAGCTAGCTAAATACATTGTGATTTTTAGGTATTCTAACACAAGAGCAATTCTCATTGCAATAACTGAAGTAGTTTTCAAAATGGGAAGGTGGATGACTGTCAAATCCTTAAACCATGACTGCTGGATTGCTTAATCATTGTTAAGACCACACTATGTTATATCTACATCCACTCTTAGGTCACTCCACTTTCACCTCATACTTGTTCAAGCAGCAACAGTCACTAAAGAACACAAAGCTACATTAAGAATGACTTTCGATAAGCTGCAGTTACAGTGGTTAAAAAGCTTTTGCATCTAGATCATGTATTAAGAAGACAAGCTATTATTAATCACATCATTCAGACAGCCAAGTGGGAAAGACTTTGACTGGATTAATCAAATAAATACAAAACGGGGTGTGGGGGGGAAATGCTCATGCCACTGCCTGGGAATTCTCCTTCCTCAACAAAACTAAACTTGATCTTGCCCTGGTGGTTGACTCCTGATTCTCTCCTGGTTTGTAAGTGCAAACCTCTGAATTTTGGTGGGGTTTCACATGTGGACACCAACTTCTGTGCCTGAACTAACTCCCAGCTCAGCACTAAGAGTCTCAAGCTAAAGACTTGAAGGAAACCTTTGCCACAATGCACATAGAGCTCAGGTTTCATCCTCTGGATATTAAAACTCATCACAACAGCCTACAAAGCTGTTCCATCAAAGACATTTTCAAACTCATTCAGTCTCTGTGCATATGCTTATGAATTTCAGCTTTCCTCATCTCAAGCAATTCTCCTTTGCTGCATTTCCATTGTCAAACCAACCCAACCAACCAACCAAAAAGATTCAGCACATTGGAAAATCATTTTCATTACAGTATCAGAGATTTGACTGCAATTTTGAAGAACATCAAGTCAAAGGTGGCAGCATCTGGTCATACAATTAATGTGTCTGCACCCCAAAGCTCTGAATCTTCCTATCATTCTTCAAGGGTAATCAATGTTATTAAATGATCAAGGAATCAAGTGAAAAATGGAAAACCCAGTACACATTAAAAGCACTAAAATATCCAGACTGTGTTTGTGTCGGTACCAGGCTCAGGCTTTGCTAAGATCACATCTTACCTACCTCTTGTTTTAAGTGTCAACCCAACATTTATCTTGTGTAATGAAATCATAGAATCATGGAATGGTTTTGGAATGCTTTGTGTTGGAAGGGACCTTAAAGCTCACCCAGTTCCAACCTCTGCCATGGGCAGGGACACCTTCCACTAGAGCAGGTTGCCCACCAGCAGAAATAGCAGGTGAGTGTCAATAAAATCTGTTGCAAATACCCTCTGAGAAGATAACACTACATGTATAAAACACACCTAGTGAGGTCATACCTTATTTAAGCAACACTTCCCAATTGCCTGAAGAAATTCATTGGTTTTCTCAGGTTCATGCCCAGCCACAACACGCGCTGGTTTAACTGACAGTGGCTCTCCTGTTACCATCACAACAGCATCAATTGCCTTCTGAAGGAAGCTGATTTTGGCATCTTTATCCTGGTAAAGGAGCAATTCAGAAATAATAAGACGACTCCAAAATAATTCCATGTACCACATAAAGACTAGAAAAAATCTCATGGGAAGAATAGTTCATAGAATCAGAATCCCAGCCTGGTTTGGGTTGGAAGGGACCTTAAAGCTCATCCAGTTCCAACCCCTGCCCCGGGCAGGGACACCTTCCACTAGAGCCGGTTGCTCCAAGCCCCTGTGTCCAACCTGCCCTTGAACACTGCCAGGGATGGGGCAGCCACAGCGTCTGTGGGCACCCTGTGCCAGCGCCTCAGCACCCTCACAGGGAAGAGCTTCTGTCTGAGATCTAACCTGAACTTCCCCTGCTTCAGTTTAAACCCATGCAACAGGAGCACTACGTGTTTTGTAAGGTCAGCAGAGAGGCCTGCCCTTGATTTACAGTTAACTATTTATTTCTGATTAAGAAACACCACCATTGACAAGGGATGAATATTGAATTGGAACGTCCAAAGTAGAAGTACAACGTTCTCCTTTTAATGTGTTCATGATTCAGGTCTGGTGCATTTGAAGAGTGCTGTAAGACCACTGGCAATCTAGTTTCAAGCGTTACATGTTAAAGAAGATAAAGTTTTGTTGAAGAAATGGTTGTAAAAGAATCACTAAAGAGTTTTAACAGGACTGTTATGGCCCACATTGCTCAGAAGGACAGCTCTTGCCCTGAGTATTTTTCACTACCAAAAGCCCAAAGTTACAGGACTGATACATGTCTAAACTGAGGCACTCAGATGCTTGTACACATACTTTACAAACCAGACTTAATAGCGAGTAAAGAAAACACATGGAAGATGGTGGCAAAGGGACACAGGCACATCTTTTTATCTCCACAATTACCAGATGTGTTTTAGTTTGATGACTATACTTTATAAACAACTTCCTCCAAGTGCCCTTCAGTAGAGATGATGTCTTCTAGTGATTAGGCAAAATCAGAAGAAAAATAAACACACCCCCAACCAAGTAAAACCGTATTGGAAGGTTCCTGGCCCCAAGGATGAAATCAGGCTGGGAAGTCTCTCTAGCTGTAGAATACTCAGCGTGGGGAAAAGAAAAAGGGGGTTAGTAATAAAACACAATGAAACTCAAGGAATATTGACCAGCAGAGTCCAGAAGTTACTCACTCACCCTTTACACTCATGAGTGGAGATAAAGGAAGTATTGCACTAGCCTGTAAAAAAGTAAACCCATGTAAAAAGAACTCTGTATGGGTGGGTTTCTGTGCCTATTAACTACCTCATTCAAACTGAAGAGCAGCCCATTGCCATTGCAGTTCATTCAAAAAAGGAACAGTTGCAATTATCCAGTAAAACACCTGATCTTGCACCACATTTCCTGTCTGAGTATCTCAGGTGCACAGGTCCACAATGACCTGGGTCAAATTTGACAGACATACCAATGCAGACACCAGTATTTCCTCAGCTGAGCAAGGCCAACACACTCTACAGGCCATCAGGTAGCACCACCTACTTCTGTTGCACGCAATAAGTGTCACTGAATCATAGAATCCCAGCCTGGTTTGGGTTGGGAGGGATCTTAAAGCTCCTCCAGCTCCAACCCCTGCCACGGGCAGGGACACCTTCCACTAGAGTAGGTTGCTCCAAGCCCCTGTGTCCAACCTGCCCTTGAACACTGCCAGGGATGGGGCAGCCACAGCTTCTCTGGGCACCCTGTGCCAGCGCCTCAGCATCCTCACAGGGAAGAGCTTCTGCCTTATCTCTAACCTGAACTTCCCCTGTTTCAGTTTGAACCCATCACCCCTTGACCTGTCACTCCAGTCCCTGATGAAGGTCCCTCTCCAGCAACCTTGTAGTCCCCTTCAGAGACTGGAAGCTGCTCAGAGGCCTCCAAGCAGCTTCTCTTCTCCAGACTGAAAGTGTCTTCTGGAGCTTACTACAGCTACTCATGTAATGGTAGGGCCACTCTTTGTGAACAAGAGCTGGGTTCTGCTGCAAGCACGTGTACGATAGTTACAGGCATGGGAAGACGATCTCCAGAGGCAGGGTATTTCCTGTCTTGTGACTCTCCCAAATGGATTAAAACAAACAATTGCCACATAGGTGGGATTTTCAGGTTGTCTGCATTAACATCAGGGACACATCACCCTCACTAGTGCCCCCTTCCTTCAAAAATCAAAAAGGAAAGGAAGGAAATACTGCAACCTTCTCTACTGAAATAGTCGCCCATCCTTCCAAGGACATACACAGTCTATTAATTTAGGCAAGGAGACAGGCCACTGTTCTAAAGCAAAGATGTTTTGGTTTAGATCCAGATAAATCCAAAACAAAGACCCAAACTTTCTTCCTACATCCTTGTCACCTTCAGCAGTTATCAGTGTGTTCTGTCTTTAGAGGAAATCCTCATGAACTCAAGGAGAAAGGCACTGATAAAAAAAATCCTATCACAGTAACAAACATCTGAAACAGTGCTGAGAGCTTAAGGAAATAGGGAAGATCTCTCTCCAATTTCAAGTGACAGGACTTTATATATATACATAAAAAGATGGTTTGTGTGTGCACATATACATATATATGACACTGATGTGACTAAAAGACTAAAACAGCAAGCCTGATATCCAATCTTCCTGCTCATAAGAGAACATTTTACTCAGCACAACAAGACGAACCTTTCTGATAAACACACAGACAGCAACATCATCCAATTATAGCTGGGAGAAGAGGTGTATTTGTTTCAATAAATTAAGGAATCCTCATGCTTTAAAATCTCTTTACATCTCTCTCCCATTGACTGGCATGACTATACATCCCCCAAGCAAACTAGAACTCACTGGAGTCCATGTGCATGCTCTCGAGACTGGATTTGGCTCATGGGATGCTTCCAGCCTTCCTCCTGCATCTTTCTATGCAGGAAGAGGAGACCAGCAATCCAAGCAGAACGTGTTATCCCCAACAGTGGAGACATTAAAAGTAGCACAGAAGCAGCACTGGGTACTTCAGAATCCCACTGCTACATCCAGGATGGGAGAGGGAATTGAAACTAGAAACAAAGATGGTTGCTGCAGGTATGTGTGCGTGATGCTGCATAGCACATAAGGGGAGTTATGAGCCAGCCCCAGCAGCCCCACAGGTTGGACCATGAGCTTTAGCCTTTCCTAAATCCCTTTTCCACACCTCATGGTATGGAGCAGCACAGCCAGCTTGCAAAGAGGACCTGCCAATTCTTCCCAGCCCACAGCAAAGTGTGGGCTATGGCACTGGGAGTATGTCACAGTGGGTACAAACCTGTTCTTGCTTTCTCAAAGCATCCTGCCCATTCCAAGTCTATGCATCTCCTGCCAGATGTTCACAACCCATGAGCATCATTCCCTGGTGTTACATCAAGCAGCTCACCCTCACATAAAAATACATACAGCTACTCAGACCATGGACTCTGGCTGCTGCTTTCAGACTCTGGCTCTCTGTGGGTAGTTTTGGTCTCCAACTGACAGTAAGGAAGCAGCCTGTGGGGGCCAAGTCTTTCTCCTGAGCAGTGTTTTGAAGAGAGGAACACGAGCTAGAGGTGTTTTCCCCCACACTACAACAGTTAGATCTCCTCTGCCTCTTCATCATAAAACCCACTGACAAGCTTCAACAAAAGAACAATCTGTTGAGTAAGTACCAGCAATAAGAACAGTCCCAGAAATAAAACACACATCTCAGACTGATAATTAGCTCTAAGAAGTGCATAAACCATCCCTGCAATTGGCTGTATGGATGACAAGCCAGGCCCATAGACCTCATACTTTGAGTTGCTATGTTAAACAATCACCAAGGGATGCAGCTACCCAACTAGCAACATACAAACACTGTGATATACGCCCTGAGTAAGTGACCAAAGGTTCCAACCAAGTCAGTAGCTGGAGAACTCAGCATCAGCTCAGCAAAGAGAGAGACAACAGAAAAGCAGCAGAGACTAAATTCACTCTTGTGCTTAAAAAAAAAAAGCAGTTTTCAGGAATAACATTAACATCCTTTTTCAGGAATTAGCTATTTATATTCCATAATAAACCTATTGTGGAATGCACACACCAGACTTGGCAAGTAGTGGGATATTAAGCAAGAATATTTACTGCCTATATATATACAGTATATATCTATCTGCATGTGTATATACAGCCACATAGAGCAATAAATATAAAGCCATACGTTCCACTGAGAGATGACAAGACTCTAAAAAGGGTTTGATGGGTTTCCAGTGCTTGGGATTTCCCATCAACACCTCACTACTTCAAGGCAATCTTGCTACATAATGCTTCTTTTCACCTGTAGCATTTGGGAAACCTAGATCTGGTCCTAGATTAACCCTCACTGCTTTGAAGCTGTCCAGAGAGGGCTCTTTACACACGTCAGCTTGCTTGTGTCGCATCCATCCCTAGGTGTCCACCCCATGCACTGCATAATATAACCAAGAGGCAAGAACACCTTTTCCAGTTCATTCACAAAACTACAGAGAGGCCCTTGATGCTGAAGGCAGGAAAGACCAAAAGTGGCAAGTTTCAAAGGATACCAGCATTAAAACTAAATAAATGAGGCAGTTTTGTACCCACCTTAACGTTATCCGATTTCAACTCAAAATCCGTGTAAAGTCCTTTCATAAAACCTGTCACTCTTATTACCTTCAAAAGAGAAGAGAAAGAGTAAGTTAAGAGTAAGTTCAGCAAAGCTTGTGTGGCAATAGGAAATACACTGGCCTGACTTGCTTTCCGAGCCAGAACTAGAGCAGGCTCAGAGCTCTGCTGTGCCTCTGGAACAGTAAGATTTAACCCTTGCTTATGGCTCAGGCCTCCCTTCCCATTTGACTCCACCTTTAACCTTGGCACTTGGTGAATCCAAGAGGTCCACAACCCAAACACCAGCACATGCATTTGAAACACACCTCCGCATTATTCCCTTGTTGACTTCACCTCGACGATCTATAAAAGCAGCAGCTCAGTGCATGTAAAACTTGAGCCTGGTTTGTTGGGGTGATTTTATAACGAGAGGTGAGAAAACAACCTACTGGCACATCCACGGCAGGCTCAGGAGAAGAGCGAGACCCCTCGTCTGGTCTTAACCCCACCAACCAGCCTAAAAACACTGACACACACTCACTGGCCTAAACCCCCCGACACTTACTTACTCCCTACCCCGAGCATAGCCCCGCAGAGGTCTCAGAGCCACGGGAATGTGCCGGGTCCCCCGTCCGCCCCCGCAGACACGGGAGCGCCCATGGCCCTCGGGGGTCCCTCCATAGCCCCGCGCCTGTGGGACCCCTCTCCCG